CCCCCCCCCCCCCCCCCGGCAGAAAAAAAGATAATTTCTCCATTTCCACTTTCTTCCAGGTGGAGGGATAATCGGGGTGGGGGCAGCTGCGGCCTCTCTGGTGTCTGCATGAAGCTCTTGGAGTCCCAAAGTACTGAGCAGCCACCCACCTTCCTGGGGATTTGGGGAAGCCCTGGGGAGCCTTCCCAGCCTTCCCTGGCTCCAGTCACTTACCGCTCCTCTTGTCTGAGCAGGGAGCTTGCACTTGGATTCTGTAAGGGGCCCCAGGTTCGAATCTTGGCCCCGTAGCCCTGTGTTAGCAGCTCCAGCCTCTGGGCCATCTTGAAGTGTAGAGCTGGTGAGTGGGGCAAAGCAAAAATCAGAATCCGAGGGGCAGCTGGGGCAGCAGGGAAGGGTTTGATCCCACCAGCACCGGCCCTGGCCCCGGCCCGCCTGGGTTGCAGGGACCCCACCTTGCTGGGCTGAGGCTGGTCCTGGCCTTGGGAAGAGCAACAGGGGCCAGCCCCCCCCCCATCCCCTTGGTGGGAGGATGGAAAATGTGCCACGTGTGGAGGGGGACCGAGGTGGCTGTGAAACTTCTCTGGGCCTCAGTTTCCTTGTCTGGTGGGGCGACACAGACACCTCGGAATTGCCGGCCAGTCTGTGTGGAGACAGAGGCTCCAGACGGAGATGGAGGTCTGGGTGGGGTGAAGGCCCCATCCACCCCGAGCCCTGCCGCACAGTCCTCGGAAGCCCTCCAGCGCCAACCTGCTGAGCAGCTCTGATCAGCAATTTGGTCTTTAATCAAGGGGGGAGTGGTCCAGAGCTGCCTTGCTAGGGTGGCTCAGGGTTTGGAGAGGCCTGGGGGAGGGGAGGGAGGGCCGCTTTCGCCCACGCCAGCTCTGACGCTGGGCTTCCTGGGCCTCGGGGCTCCTGGGCTGCAGCCCTGTGCAGGCCACTGCCTTGCCATACTGTGCTGACCAGGGCACTGAGCATGGTCAGAAGGGGCTGCAGGACTCACCTTGGTGCTCCCAGGGCCCTGGATGGGAGGCGAGGAGGAGGGGAGAGATGCATGGATAGAGGACGGACTGCCACTCCCCAGCCCCCTGGATCTGCCTGCGAATAGCAGCCAGTGCCGACTTCTCCCCGAGGGACTAGATTGGCATTTTCATCCTTTCTGGGCAGGCTTAGAGTCTGTGACAGTCCCCAGTCTCCCTCCCTAATGCTCCTAAGCTACCCTTTCTCAGCATCTGCTTGCTACAAAGAAATCTCCGGCCTCCTGAATGCATAAATGCTTTATTGAGACCAGAGCAAACCAACATAAAGCTCCCTGGCTCGTAGGTCCTGTCAAAGGGAAGCCCCCTCCCTCCCGCAGCAACCCCAGCCACCAGGACCCTGCCGGTCCCCCTCCCAGACCCCTTCAACTGGCTGGGGCTGAAGCCTGGGTTGCAGATGTAGGAGGAAGGGCTGGAGGGGCTGTGGCCAGGCCTGTAAGCTCTGAGCTTTTCTGCTTACAAAACCCCAGCTCCCTTTGGGGACAGGCATCCCATCCCAGTTATAGACAAGGAAAAGGCTCAGACAAAAAGCAGCTGGCCAGAAGGTCCCCAGCAGGCAGGGGATGGAGCTGGGGTCCCAGAGCAGTGCCCATCGGCCGAGGGAGTGCCCCGTCTGCACCCAGCCCACGCCTTCCTGGTGAGGATGCCCCCCACTTCCAGAACCGGGAGGGCAAGGGTCAGAAGGGGCCTGAGTGGGGAGGGAGGAGTCAAGGGGGTCACTCAACTGCCCCTGGGGCCCCCTTCATGGTCCTGTGGTCCACAACCTCTCCTTGTGGCTTGGGCAGGAGCTGAGGAGCCCACACCTCAAGGCCGCCCAGCCCAGAGCTCCTCCAAACTTGCTTGGCTTCTGGCTGAGAACCCAGTCCTTCCCCAGTCTGCCTGTGCGTGGAATAATTTTGGAGGGTGAAGTCAGGGGCCTTGGAAGGAGGAAAGAGAGGAAGGAGGGCCAGGGAGGCCTTGGTGAGCTCACACACCTCGGTGGACTGTGGGACTTCTGGCTGCCTCAGTGTACCCACGTGTGTGGGAACAGAGCGGGGTCACGGAATCCAGGGGCATGTGGTGGGCACCCCACTGCTCTCTCTAGCCTGTCGCCAAACCATTCCCAGTTTCCCCGATCTGAGTCTGCTGCAGAGAACATCTTCAAAGAGACAGGTTCTACAAAAGGGTGGTGCCCCAGCCTGTGTCCTCCTCCCGGTGAGCAGCGGCCCTTGGGGCTCTTGCCCACCCCCTGTCCCCTATTTAGGGCCTGAGATTGTGAATGTGTCCTGAAACTTGTCAAGGCAAGGTCAGATGGGCCTGAGACCAAACCCCACCCCCCAGCATGGTGAGGAAGGGGCTGTGGCTGGGGGGATGGGCAGCAGTTTTCAGGTACCTGGGATCTACATGCAAATTACGCATACAGGAATGACCCGTCCCCAAATCCACCTCCGGATCCCAGGAGGGTGGGCACCTTTAGTCTCCCCTCCCTCCCCCTCTCTGTCTTCCTGGCCTTAAGCTGGAGAGAGGGGTGCTGCAGGCCAAGCCTCCTTTCCCTCAGGGCTCTCAGCTGCAGCTGGGGGCTGCCAGGAGCCAGGACAGTGGGGGGCCACCATCCCCAGGAGCTCTGTAGGGGGAGGGTATCTGGTAGGGTCAGCCCCCCACTAATGCCCTCTGGCCATAGGCCTCCCAGTGGGCCTGGACTATTGCTTTCTGCCTGCTCTGCAGGGGTGTGTGTGTGTGTGTGTGTGTGTAGCATGTATACACACGTGTGCATGAGGATACCGGTGAGGTTGTCAACATGTGTCACTGAGGACAAAGACAGATCTACTGTACATGTGTGGGGTGGCTGCCCATGTGTAGTTTTGTAAGGGTTTCACCAAGAACATGTCACGTGTCGGCTTCAGAGACTGAGTGTGTGCTTGTGAAGAGTAGGTGTGTGCCTGTACACGTGTGCAAGCGTCCTCGAGTTTACATCTGGGCATGACAAAGGCCCTGCCTGTAGCACAGGCACGCGCGCACTTGTGTGTTGTGTCCAGAGGTGCACGTGCTCAGCCGCGAGTCTGGCCCGCGGCTGGGCTGTGACAGTTTGGGTCTCAGGGTGCGTGTGGCTCCGAGTGCGTTGGCACTTTGTGTCTCCCGTGGAGGGGGACATGGAGGGAGTGCAGCTTTTTCTGGTCGTTTTTCTGAGTGCGTGTGTGGTGATGTGCGTGGTCCATGTCCTGGTCGTGTGCGTTTGTCTTCTCCTCGGCATCTGAGCCCTGGCACGCGTGCTCGGGACCTCGGTGCTAAGTGTGTCCTGCGTGCGTCTCCGAACCGCGAGTGTGAGTGTGTGCGGCGCTCTCCGGGGCTCCGCGGCTCGGGGGGCTCGGCTCGGGCCACCGGTGCCCCGCGGGCCCGGGTGGGCGGGCCCGAGCGCCGTCCTGGGTGGGGACCGTGTGCCAACCGCGCGCCGGGTACCTGCGCCCGTCTAGCCACGAGTGCCGGTGCGCGCGGCGAGCGGC